CCCTCCGTCGGCTCCACCGCGGGCCGCTATTATGGCTGTGGCCAGGGTCCCACCTGGCTCCTCCTCCTGCTCCGGTTCCCTCCTGTCGTCTCCCTGGCTCCTTCCTCCATTGGCACCTCCCTGGACTCTGTTAGCCATCCTCCTCCTGGACGTCCGTCCTCTGCCGGAACCTCCACCTGTCTGCTCTGCCTGCCAGCCCTTTGCCTTCCCCTGTCACCATCTCACATCCTCGGCGTTGTCCTCCTCCTAGTCCCCCTCTGCCCCTCCCTTTATTTCTACGGTGCAAGGACGCACCTTCCAGGAGGGGGGAGTAATGTAACACCCCTGTGGACTGTTTGTTGTGGTTTCTTCCCCTTTTGTTGGTTTAGCCCATTCAATCATTATTTAATTATCCTCAGTGTGCTCACCTGTCTGCCCCTCGTTATCTGCCCTATAAGTTCCTGCCTCATGTATTCTAGTATTGTCGGTTATTGTGAATGTTACCCCGAGTGTGTGTGTGTGTGTCTCATCTACCCGAATCTGCCTTGTTGTCTCTACATTAAATATCCTTATTTGAATCCTTGTCGTCCTCGTCATCCTGCCTGCCTCCACACACCGTGACCGTGACACTCCTGGATGAGTCGTCGTTGCGCTCTTGGAGTAATTTTGGTAGGCTGGCCACTCCTGGGAAGGTTCACCACTGTTCCAAGCTTTCTCCATTTGTGGATAATGGTTCTAACCGTGGTTCGCTGGAGTCCCAAAGCCTTAGAAATGGCTTTATAACCCTTTCCAGACTAATACATGTCAACTATTTTGTTTCTCATCTGTTCTTGAATTTCTTTAGATCGTGGCATGATGTGTTTCTCTTTAAGCATGCTTCACTTTGTCAGACAGGTTCTGTTTAAGTGATTTCTTGATTCAACAGGTCTGGCAGTAATCAGGCCTGCGTGTGGCTAGTGAAATTTTACTCAGCTTTCTAAAATAATGTGGTTAATCACAGTTCTTTCATGATTTAAGAGAAGGGGCAAATAATTTTTCACGTAGGGCCAGGTAGGTTTGGACAGCTTTTTTCCCTTAATAAATTAAATTATCATTTAAAAACTGCATTTTGTATTTACTTGCATTATCTTTGCGTAATATTAAAATTGGTTTGATGATCTGAATCTTTTAAGTGTGACAAATATGCAAAAAATTAAAAAAAAACAGGAAGGGGGCAAAAATCTTTTCATGGCACTGTACATTCACATTTACAAATACTGCTGTTCAAAAGTTTACGTTTGGTAAAATGTTTTTTAAAGACGTCTCTCTTTCTCATCAAGGCTGGATTTATTTGATCAAAAATACAGTAAAAACGGCAATCAGGTCAATTTGTTGTGTCCATGATTAATAAAAGCCTTAATTTATTAAAGCAATAAGCCCCAAGAAGCCGTGGTTTACAGTGAATTTATAACAGCTAAGGGGCGTTGTTGGGCACAATGAAAAGCGGAGTGCCTAAAACCCCCTTAGCTGTTATAAATTCACTGTAAACCGCAGTTTGACGAGGCTTATTGCTTTTATAAAACGGTTATTCCATATAC